GCGAGATCGTGACCTGGCTGAAGTCGGACGCTTAACCGACTGCGCCACCCAGGCGCCCCTACAAATGAATTAAACACCATATCATGTCACCCAATCAGGACTCTAGCTGCGAAGTTAGCCCTGCTGGCAGCTTTGTTTTCCCTGTTGGGGGAGGGGGAGGGGAGGAGGGTTGGGGCCAGTTCTCTGGAGCGAAGAGCTCTTGGGAGCAGGTCAGACAGACTGGGTAGACCCTTTTCGGGATACCTCTTCCATTCTGTTTACCCCTCACACATTCAGCTGATAAACTAGAGGCTGGTAATGCACTTGGAGCCTCTGGTACCTACAAACCTCCGGCAAACATTAAATGCGGGCACGTTTCCTACCCAGGTTACCACGAAACCTCACTCCGGCGGCCTTTCAACTGATGCCATTCCCCAGTGGATCATGTTGGACTTCCAACAAAAATCGTAAGGCATGTTAAGAGGCAAGAGAAAACAGTTTGAAGAGAGAAAGCAAGCATCAGAACCAGTTTCAGAGAGAGCACAGATGTAAGGATTTTAGAATTACCAGTCAGGGAATTTAAAATCACTATGAGTAATCTGTTAAGGGCTCTAGTGGAAAAAGCAGACAACATGCAAGCTCAGATGGGAAATGCAAGCAGAGAGATGGAAACTCTAAGAAAGAATCAAAAGGAAGTACTAGAAATAAAAAACACCGTTAACAAATAAAGAGTGACTTATAAGCTCAATAGACTAGACAGCCAAGGAAAGAAGCAGGGAGCCAGAAGATATGCCAACAGAAACTTTCCAAACTGAAATGCAAAGAGAGAAAACAATGGCAAAACCAGAAAAGAACAGACAAGAACCACGGGACCGTTTCAAAAGTGCTTGGAACCGTGGCACTGGTACCACAGCATGGACGGACTCCAAAATGGCGATGCTGAGGGGAAAATCCAGGTCAGAAAAGAGCACATACTATACAATTCCACTTAGAGAACATTCTAGAAAGTGCAAACTAATTTATTTTTTAAATTAGTTTAAATTATTTACTAATTTAAACAAAAAGTCTTTGCCTGGGGACAAAGGACAGGAGGGATGACCAAGGGGCATGAGGAAACTTTTAGGGGCAAGAGATCTGTTTGCTAGCTTGACTGTGATGATGGCTTCACGGGTGCACACGTCTGCCCAGACTTACCAGGCCGTACACTTTAAATACGTGTGGTCGAAGTGGCTATGGACTGAGACAGACCTGAGCGTGAATCCTGCCTCTTCTTTTACATGCACGGTGTTTGGAGTGGTAATCTCAATGCAGTTTATTTTTTTCTTTTTAATTTACATCCAAATTAGTTAGCATACAGTGCAACAAGGATTTCAGGAGTAGATTCCTTACTGCCCCTTACCCATTCAGCCCATCCCCCCTCCCACAACCCCTCTAGCAACCCTCTGTTCTCTATATTTAGGAGTCTCTTATGCTTTGTCCCCCTCCCTGTTTTTATATTATTTTTGCTTCCCTTCCCTTACGTTCATCTGTTCTGTGTCTTAAAGTCCTCATATGAGTGAGGTCATATGATACTTGTCTTTCTCTGACTGGCTAATTTCTCTTAGCATAATACCCTCCAGTTCCATCCACGTAGTTGCAAATGGCCAGATTTCATTCTTTTTGATTGCCAAGTAATACTCCATCATGTATGTATGTGTGTGTGTTGTGTGTGTGTGTGTATATATATATATATATGTATGTATGTATATGTATGTATGTGTATATATATATGTATATATA